TCTTGTCGAGCCCCGATGGCTCTCGGAATTTCGGACTTTCTTTTCAGAGTTTGTGCTTTTTGTTTTTCTCGCATTAGATAGGAATTTAGGAATTTTGCAATTAGGATTTTCCTTTGTCGCGCGGCGCTTTTTGCTTACGCGCTTCTTTGTGCTGCTGCAACGGAACTCTGATTAGTCGGCGCCTTTAATCGTGTGTGTAACTGTAATTTTGGGCGGGCGCCATTGTAACTGTATCTTTCTTCTTGTGTTTCGCCTTTCCCGCCCTTCTTCTCTTTCTTTTCGTTGTGTTTTGGTAGCCGCGCTCTACATGATCGGATCGATGCGTGGAGAGCCGCTACGTCCCCAACGCCGCGATTGGGCCATGCAGAACATAGGCGTTCCTTCTCTAATCATCCTTCTAAGTCTTTGTAATTCCGTGTTCTTCTTGCATGCATGCACGCTATAAATTCCGGCTGCGCGATTAGTGAGCTCTCTTAACTAGTTGTTGGAAGCTCGGGGTTGCGCGATCAGAAGGGGTCGGCACACAAGCGAAGTAAGAGGTGAGTAGAGCAGGAGTCGGGCGACCCGATGAGGTGGTTCCAAACGCACAGGGTTGACGCGGGCCATGACGGACTGTGGGCGCGGGCGAACCTGACGGGTGCGGGAGGACTAAGCGGGGTGACGGCTTCGTGGGTTGGTGCGAGACGACGGACTGTCCGCATCAGAGAGAGAGAGAGAGGAAGAGGGAGCTGAGGTTGATGGGCGCGGATTTGTTGTTTCTTTTATCTTTTCTCCCTCCCATCTCATGTATATAAATTTTGATTTCGGCTCAGGACGATTTGCCCGTTTATGTTTTTTTCGGAATTTGGACTCGTTTTTTTGCTCACACTTATCTTTGCGATTTCCATCTCAGATATGGTGTGTGAATGAATGAATGGATGTCGTGTCTGTTGTTTGTCGTTTCCATCTGATCCTTGCCTTCGTTTACCATCTTGATGCACTCGTGAATAGGGTAGGAATTTTATGTAGTCATCAATGTTGTTTCCCTTTGTGCTTATCTTCTGATTGGGTCATTGTGGTTGTTGCATCTTGCATGCTCGGAAATCACGGAATGATTAGACAACCAGGTAGTTGTTGCATGGAAACCAGCGAACGCCTTATAGGGACGCGCGTAAGTACGATCTGCTCTGCGCACTTACACGTGTCCCCATATATCGATTCACGACCAAACCACACATAATGAGGTCAACAACTGATTGGATGTGGTCATTCCACGTCAGCAACGAAGCAATCATCTCGGGTGAACACGCGTACGCGCGACTCGATTCGCGCGGCCTGCACGTGCTCACATGCGGTGATCGCAATCGACACAGACCCGCCCTTAGGCATCTAGTAGTTCCACGATGACATAATGATACGCTCCGAGAGCTCAGAGTCGTTGTACGCCCCGGATTACTTCACCCCGTGGATAGAAGAAAGCCTTCGACAGAGACTTTTTTGTCTAACAGAAAACCGGCTGTGTCCTAGGGAGTTTTATTGCGCCACCACCAGCGACCCCAGGTGCTCTGATTTCCCCACTTCAGACCACACCCACTACTTTATCTCCCCTGGCTTCGTCGTTATCTCCACTAACTTCCCTCCCTTTAGTCTTAATCTCCTGTTTCATCAACTCAAGGTCATCCCATGGAAAGCCATAGCCCCCTACTGGCCCAACACGACCTGTGAAAATTGTCGACAACGCGGCAACCAGAGAACCTCGGGACCGCGAGGGCCCAGCCAGAACGTACGACGACCGGCCCCACGTGGCGACAACCGACGACCGGACTGATCGGGATCACACCCACCCCGAAGGGATCTCCCGATGAACTGCCGTCCTCAACTCAGATGGATCGCATGACCATAAATGATCCGCGTATGCCATCTGCCTTATGACCAGAAGTGGTCCGCCCTCTCTGCCAAATCGCACCCTTGCCCCCAAAAAACTCTGCCACAGGAGATCTCAGTTCTGACCTGGGACTCCACCCCCACTTTCCCAAAAATCCTTGGCACACCCCTTTTCGCACTTCTAGGCCCACATTCTACTCCGATCAGGAAGTCGCGCTGGGCGCGAGGTTGGTATTGGAGCCCGACACGTGGCCGGGTTTTAGGATTAACAGCACGATAATTGAGCGATCTGGTTAACTGAGGGCGACGTCGACCCCGGAACGCGCATAGACGCGACCTTGTCATCACCCGAAGCAAATCGGCTAATCGGCGGGCAGCCAACATGAACGGTAATCCACAGAATCCGAATCCGCAGCAGAACGTTAATCAACCGAATCCTAACCAACCCGCCCCACGAGCACGGGCTCCCATGATGCCACCTGATCTCTATCTGTTCGATCCTGCACATCATCTTGCAGAAGCATGGCTGGCCACGCTCCGGGCAGAACCGTATGATGATAACGAAGCTCGGGTAAATATTCCCGCCCGATTAGGAGGGGACACTCACCACTGGTTTAGTATCTATGTATGGATAGATCTTCCGACTTTCGAACGAGATTTTCTGAATCGATTTGATTATGTCCATCCAAAGCAAGCACTTTTTATGATTAAAGACCGGGTGCAAAAACCTCTTGAGTCTATCGTAGATTATCGAAACCGATTCTACCGAATGTTTGTGAAAACTGAGCGAGGTGAGCAAGTCGGGAGAGATTTGTTTATTGATGGGCTTTGCAGCCGAACGATAAGGGCGAAGCTGCGAAAGCAGTTCTCCCCCATCAATCATACGCTGCAATAGATCATGGTTGCTGCAGAGGAGATGGAACGAAAGTTCGCGACAAGCTTCCTGGAAGGAGAAGACTATCCTAAGGAAGGGGATTCGTCCGAACTCGCAAGGGCGAAAGCTGAGCTGGCTGCGTTGCAAAACAAGTTCAAAAATATGGGATTTGTGTCTGGCGCAGTCACCTATCTGGAACAGATAGCCCCTAAATGACCGACCCCGAGTGTAATCACGAGTGTCCCTGTTCCTGTGATGCCAACACCTGTAATGACGGCACCCCCACCACCGATTGAGAACCCTGTGAGGTCAAATGAATCCACCGCCATCTTTGAACTAACCAAAACATTAACTAGCCTAATCCAGAAGAACAAAAAGGAACAGCGAGAGCATGACGCTCGGTTGGAGGCTATGATGAGGAACATGCGGCCCATCACAGTACGTGCCGCTCCAATCCAACAAGGACTGGCCCCGATACCTGCGCTTGGAGGGGCCGCAAGCAATTTGAATGTTTGTTATGCATGCCATCAACTGGGGCATTTAGCCCGCGATTGCCCCCACCGGCCCCCGCAACAACGGGTTGGGGTCACACCCATGGCAGCATCCCCCATCGCTAACGGACCTGGACGGGTAGGAGCCCTAATGGAAGAAATGGAAGCTGGAGGAAGTGCGTTAGCTACCTCGGAAGAGGTTGCTGAGCTCACCCCGTTGGACCAATATGTGTCGCTTGGTTATCCGGGGCTTGGAATGATTGGAACAATCAGACCGGCGCCAGAACAGAAAGAAGTGGCGAAGTGGCGACCTTCTCCATGAGAGATGGAATCGGAAGGACCCACCTTCGTCACTGGGGAAATCGATGTGCTCAACATCATCCGAGCCTTGGACCATCGGATCCCACTTTCGATCGGCCATCTGCTCTCGATCTCTGAACAAGCTAATGAGCGAATGTTACCACACTGTAAGGCGAATCGAAAACAATTCGCCCTCGCCCGAACAACGAACGTGAAAGCTAAAAGCCTTACACCAGACGAAAATACGGCTGGCACTTCGGATCCAATACGGGTAGGGTTAATACAGAAAGACGATCATTTCCTACGGATTAAACCCATCCCTTGGAAATCTGCGAAATGCAACATTGGAATATGGGGAATTCCGTACAATGCAATCATTGATTCGGGAGCTGCTGTTCTGGCTATTTCGATGCGTGTAGTTGAAAGAGCAGGTAGGAAAAAACGATCTAATCATGCTTACGGAAAAGGATCAGCTCGTTTCGGCAGACGAAGAAAAGATCAAGACAGTGGGAAGAATGACCAATGTCGCTTTTCGATTAGGAAAGGTGCACGCGTTAGGAGATGTCGTGGTATTAGACATAAGCACCTATGATGTCCTTTTCGGCCTTCCCGCTCTTGTGGCGTTACGAGCAAACTTGGATTTCGAGCGACGGTCAACCATCCTCCGAAATACGGGAGGAAAGCCCTATGCTGTACCTATGAGGCTGACCCTTCGTACTACCATCAACGCGGTCCCGCGAGTTTCTCCGATGATAGCGGGAACTCTTCGCATAATCACCTGGGAAGACTCCGCAGACGATGAGCCATCATCGAAGGATGTGGAAAGCAGTGACGAAAATGATCCGCAAATTCTGAAACTAGCACGACGACACATTTATTACCCGCCACCCAGAACGATCGCAAGAACGATGCATCTAACCAGTCGGAATATCCAAAGGACCAAAGCGATGATTTTGGGTGAACCCCTCGTACAAATTTCGAGGATGGTCGATTCCTTGGAACCCCCTCAAACCCTGTACGAAGGAATTTCCCCTCTCCTCGCCCGATACAACGACAAAAAACACTACTGCGATATCACAGATGTCCCGAAGTCCCTATTGACACCCGCAAAAGAAGTACGACTGCTACGCCTGGGGTCGAAGGCCAGTCCTTTGGAACCCCCTGGGCATCTCGAGGTTGAATCAAATGAGCTCGTGATAAAGATCGCAACTAGAACCGTACCATGGCAAGATATCTGCGATGGAATCACCCCGGAAGGACACGTGGCCATCCGGGAGGAAGACGCCCAGATAATGGTTACGGTGTTCTCCTGGCGATTTGCGCCACCACCTGATGTGGCGAAACAAGCACGCACGAAGCAGATCGACGTACGGATCCGGGATCAACTTTTAGAATTACACGTTCCACAGTACGTACCTGATGAGATTCATCGTTTGATTGCGGACATTCTGATGGAATATCAGGGAGCGATTAGCGTAACGGACACTGACATCGGCTTGTCATTCGTCATTCAACACGAAATTCAGACGGGAAACCATTCCCCAATTCACTGCAAGCCCTACCGATATTCCCTGATAGAACGAAAAAAGGTTCTCGAACGAATTCGGGAATTTGAAGCAAGCGGTTGGATCGAACCCACCACTGGACCATGGTCATTTCCAGTAGTGTTAGTACCGAAGAAGAATGGATCAATCCGCATATGCATCGATTATCGCAAACTGAATGAGATCACAATCAAAGATGTTTATCCGCTCCCCCGGATTGATGATTTGTTGGATGCGATTGGTTGTGCTAATTATTTTAGCAAGTTTGATATTCGGCATGGCTTCCATCACATTCTGGTTAAGGAAGAAGACAGGCCGAAGACGGACTTCGTGTTGTTTGAAGGCACGTGGCAGTGGGTTCGATTTCCGATAGGAATTTGTAACGCGCCTGCCACTTTTCAGCGAGCGATGAACGTGACGTTCCAGAACTTCGTCAACAAGACACGGCTAACTCAGGGAATGATCAACTTCTGCCTGATCGTGTACATGGATGATATCCTTGTCTACTCGGAAACCTATCACGGACATGCACAATACATTAGGTGGACATTGGGAGCACTGAGAGACGCTGGATTCAAGATTGCACTCGAGAAGAGCGAATTTTTCCTCTCGGAAATTTCGTTCTTGGGATACGTGGTGACACGTGGAGGGCTGCGACCGGATTCCAGGAAACTTGCGGTTGTGAAAGAAGCCCCAGTTCCCACGTCGCTGACGCAGGTTCGAGCCTTCTTGGGCCTGGCGTCGTACTACCGCCATTTTATCAAAGGGTTTGCGGCGATTGCTCGGCCTCTCACGAACCTGCTTCGGAAGGACCAGCCTCTGCAGTGGGACTATGAGTGTGGACGAGCCTTTGATGCACTCAAAGAGGCCCTGGTTACAACACCTATTTTGATCCGACCGGACCCTACTAAGCAATTTATTCTTATAACGGTCTGGCAACCGGAAGCGATCTCCGCCATTCTAGCACAAAAGGGGAACGATGGTCGCGAACATGTCATCGAGTACACGTCACAAACAGTGCCGGATGAACGGAGGAATGATTCAACACCTCAAGGCGAATGCTATGCAGTAGTCTGGGGAATCCAACAATTCCATCCATATCTCTACGGACAGAAGTTCCGCCTCGTGATGGATCATGCGCCTCTGCTGGCTTTGAAGAAGCTCACTAACTACACGGGCATGATTGGACGTTGGGCGGTGCGTCTACAGGAGTACGACTTCGACATCATCCATCGGAAGACAGAAAGACACGGCAACGCGGACGGACTGACACGTCTGCATCGGCCCGCTAAAGTACCTAAGGGCGAGGAAATCACTCCGTGGAAGGAGTCAGAACCGGTGAACGGGCCTAAGTACGGACAAGTGGCAGTTCTCCCACGTGGCAAGAAGCAGACCGGTGGCAATGGGTGACGGAGGTAGCCCCACAACCCCTTTTTCTCCCCTCTCCTCTTCGTCTCTTCTCTCCCTGCCTGATAAATTTTGCTATTTCTGCGAAGCCATTTCTCGCGTATATTCGGTCTCCATGCGTCCTAACGGGGAAGGCTATGCAGAATGGATAGATTGTCGACAGTGTTTCGCACGAGCCCATGGCTCGTGCATCCAATACAGAAACGACAGTAAGTCTTGGTTGTGCCCCTTGTGTCGGGTCGACAAGATCCGACCGAGGCTCGCTTTTTGGATGCCACGTCAGAAGGATAGGGCTGAAGTATGGACCGATATCACTCTGATTGCTACCTTAGTGGGTAACCCCCTCCAGGATTTCACCAAGGAAGATCGGAGGAGGGCTAATGAAAGCGCTCGGGATTATCGATGGGTTGAGGGTAGGTTAGAGAAACGAAAAACGGATGGCAGTGGGATTTGGATGGTTGTACCGCACCCGTTCATGAGATATGACTGGGTGAAGACAGCACACGAGGAAACGGCAGCTCATTTCGCCGTACGGATTACAGAGTCAGCAATCGACAAAAATGAATGGTACTGGTCCAATATTTGGGACGATGTGAAATTCATCGTCGCAAACTGCCAAGTCTGCGTTGCTGATAAGGCGCCGATTCAGCCGCCAAGATCGACAGTACCGACGGTAGTTGAGCGGCATTTTCAAAGGGTTAGCATGGATACTACTGACATTGTGGTACCCCCTGGTCCTAATAGTTGTGAGTATTCAATCCTGTTGGAATTTGTCGACCATTTTTCGGAATGGATCGAGGCCTACCCATGTCGCACGCGGCAAGCCGCCGAAATTGCGCGGTATGTTAACTGTTTTCTCGGGATGCACCAGGACACAGAAGAGATCCTGACCGATAACGGGGCGGAATTCAGGGGAGAAGTGTTGAGGAATCTGGTCATACATGGTGTCGCTGTGCGGGGAATACCGCGCCCCACATGTCACAATCCAATGGGCTGGTAGAAAACGCAAATAGGGTGATAACGACAGCGCTGCGACGAAACATCGCGGCACGGGATCCGAGGCCTTGGCCCGATATTGTCGACCATATCCTGGCAGTACATCGCGGAACGCCCCACGAATCGACGGGCGTGAGGCCCTTCCAATTAAGGACCAATAGCGTCGCTTGCGTTTCAATATCGAGCCTCCCTGATGAATCGACGCTCAACCGCCGGCCCATAAGGGCCACGGCTCGGGACAAGGCCAAGCGACACTTAGAGCTAATGGAACGATCCCTCCCCAGGCTAGCTTGAAAATGCCAGAAAAATGACCGAGCTGGCCCACGGCCTACATGTCCGAAGCTACGAGGCCCGGAACGGGAACGCAGGTTCACGGCCTCAGTACAAATTGGGGGATATCGTGCAGGTAAGGAAATGTGCTCGTCAGGGTAAGCTAGCGCCACGGTTCTTCGGGCGATTCTGCGTGATTGAGCTAGGACCGAACGGCGTGAACACCGTGCGGCTTGCGCCTGAGGTCTCCGGCAGCCGATCGGCTCGACCGATCATCCGCCACGTGTCCTATCTACGTCCCCTTCCTTCTTCCCCATCTTCGCCTTCATCTGACTCCTCCGCTGCGGAAGAGGACGACGACTGCTTATCACCTATCTGTCCTTCTTCATCTCGTTCTTTCTCAGATACCCCGTCCTCGCCACTATCGCCATGAGCTTTTTCACGGAGCGAGCCCTCGGCCACCATCTTTTAACGCCACGGGGTTACATCTCGGCGATTCGGCAGGTGTGCCATCCACGACTCAATCAGGATCTTCTACGGCTAGCGCAGTTCTTCTGCACTTCTAGGGTGTATGCAGCGGCGGAGTTCCGATTCGTAGGCAGTCCGCAGGTGGTGAAACTGGCAGAAGCGGTGGTTGTCCATCGGTGATCAACTCCAGGAATCAGCCACGTGTCTACGGTCGTCGGTTTCAGCGGCGACATCAGCACGGTCAATGCGCTCCGACATACAGCCATCCGGATGCAACTAAGGAAGTGGGCGCAGCAACTGGCCGGGGAGTGGAACCGCTGTCTTACGCGCCCCGGGGAGAATCTTTTCCCCACGGACGGCGTCGAGCTCGGAGGGATCCGAGCATTCCAGCACAAGCCAGCGGTGGTGCTGCCAGAACTCATCCCCTTCCAGCCTCCCCGATGAACCACTCCCAACTCTCCACTTTTTCCCTCCCATCTCTCTTCCCCCCCCTCTGGCAATCTAGTCTCCACCCTCGTCTCTCCTTTCTCCTAGAGCCACTCGCAGTCCCCCTTCTTGATCCTGGGCAGTGGAGACTTTGGCGTGAGCACTTCGTTGAATCACGTGGGCAAGGGACGAAGACCATCGCGAGTGGAGCGAGTACTTGGAGTGGCTGATTATCCAGGCCTAGAGAACAAACGTGGAGGGCGATCTTCTTGGATTCCTGTTCGGATCGGTGCGGCCCAGCCATCGCCAGCCAATCGTCCTAGAGCTTACGATCCCACTCGCGCAGCTAGCAGACGATCTTCCCCTAGAGATCGTCTCGCAAAGTGACGAGAGCCCGGTCCCGCATGTTCTCACGCGGACCTTGGCACCATATCTTCAGTGGTCAGCGTGCTTGGAGAAGCCCGGAAATGACCGCAACCCGCCATCGCAGTGGGATTATCTAAGCCCACGAGAGATCATCGATCCCGCCTACTTCCGGGATCGAACGGCCACCGAGGACGAGGTGATAGCGGCAGAAGAAGAAGCAGCCGAAGAAGAAGAAGAAGGGGAGGACGACGAGGAAAAAACTCCCGAAGAGGGGAGTTACAGCGAGCACAGCGAAGGGGAGCAAAGTGAGGAGGAGGAGGAGGAAGAAGAACAAAGCCCGGAGGAGGAGGAAGAAGAAGAAGATCAGGAGGAGCTAGAAGAGTTAGAGTGGGAAGGATTTGAGGAGGAGGTGCGTGCGGAGGCTCGAGCACACGCCCAAGCGCAGAAGAAGGAGGAGATCGCGACCGAAAAGCGACAACTGGAGTTTGCCAGCGCAGCAGGTCCGCCGACCATCGACGATCCAGAGCCGCCCAAGCCTGAACATGGGGACCCAGCTGCTGAGACTTCGGCCGCAGCGGCAAGGCGGCGACGAAGTCGATCCCCCTTCCCCTCCACCACCGACCGTCCACTAGTTCGAACCCGTACTGATGCGGGGCATCGGGCTTCGTCCCCAATCGTTATCCCGCTGTCCCCTTGACCATCTCACCCTCCGCCAGGCTACCACCCACGTCGTCTTTCCCCGCAACCCCTTCCCCTTCGACACCTTCCACTTCTTCTACGCCACCCATCGTATTGTCACAATCCATCCCTACCCTTCAACCCGATGCGCCCTCCCCAACTTTTACCTCCATATCCTTCTCCTGAGCGCCGCGTGGCGAGGCCACAATATGATCGAAGTTTACTGCATGAGTACGGGGACTATCCCCGCATGCGAAAACTACGACCATTTCCGCGCGGCCCTCTTCCGCACCTTCACCACCCTGTATCCAGACTACCTCGCTTCTCTCCCCCATAGTGGTAATCGCTTCCCCCGTTTCCACTGGATCGGTCGATA